CATGTGTATGCATTTTTGAATATAAAAGTTTTGTGGCGGTAAGTATAGCCTATTGATTTTATTTCTTTTGTTGATAGTTTGTCCAAGGCTAGGGGACATTACTCTGACTCTACTCAGTCTTTGCTACGAGACTTAAGATTCCCAGACCTAGACCTAGATCTAGATCTAGATTCTAGAATCTACCTATTAAGATCTACATTGCTTTAATCTAGTTCTAAGAGTATAAGTTCATGAATTAGAATATATTAGATCTAGATTCTAGATCTAGTATTTTAGTGATCTAGATAAAATATTAAAAATATTAAGAAAAGGATGACGGTAAAAACTAAAACAACAGGAAAATGAGGATGACTTCTCCAGTCTCACTCAGCCTACGACTTACTTATTAATCGAATCTAGATTCTAGATCTAGATCTCTAGATATTAGATCTAGATATCTAGAACTTAGACAACAATGTTAATGTTAATAGATCTAGATCTAGCTAGATTACTGAACTAGACTCTAGTACTGATTACTCAGTGATTACTGTTTAATATTTTAGAAGTAGGCCTATACTATATAATTTAATAAATATATAGTTATTAGAAGTAGCTTGTAGATAGATGGCTAGATAGATAGTATTACTAGATCTAGATAGAGATAGTAGAATAGATCTAGATCTAGATTCTAGTTGCAGATGGTAGTATGGTAGGCCCTAGATCTAAAATCTAGATCTAGAGAATCTAGTTTAGGTAAATCCTACCCTAGTTAAGTTTAGTAAGAGCTAGTAATGCCTAGTAAGGCTAACCTGTTTTTAATTTTAAATTAATTTTTTTATATCTAGAATCTAGACTAGATCTACTCTAGCTATTTACTAGATCAGTAGCCAGTAGAGTGATTAGAGTAGTAGTAGAGTGTAGTGTAGAGTACTGTAGACTATTGTAGAGTGTAGGTACTAATAACTAGACTGAAACTAAATTAGACTAGAATCTAGGTCTAGATACATTTAGGGCTTACAGACTTATCAGACTACAGTGTTGCAATGAGTAGATCTAGTAATATATAGATTAAATTTAGTTTAAAATTGTTACAGTAGTGCTACTACCTTTCTAAGTAGTAAGTAGTGTAGACTACTAGAAGAGCAAGATGATAGATCTCCATCAAGCTACAATAGAGTTTAGTTAGTAGTTAGTTAGCCGTAGTAATAGTACCAAAAGCAGTGTAAGTAGCACAGTAAAAAAAAAGTATTACTAGGCCATCTATTATTGTATTAGGCCCTTTTATTTTTAGCAAGTTAAAGTTTGGTTAAGTACTAGTCTTCTAGCAAGTTGCCTAGTAGTAAACTTATAAACTAGATCATGTGTATTAGTACTATTAGACTTGTAGGCTAGTCTTGTTAGTCTAGACTAGGGACTATAAAATCTACAATTGATAACTTTCGGCCTTTTAGTATAAGCCTAATTATTAATGAATTACAGGGTACAAAAATTAATAAATTGGTCAGAGTCAGTATGGTTACAGTTAGCTGTTAATAGAATTAAGTTTTAGATCTATTGACTACAATTTTTAGTTACAAGTAATGAAAATGAAACTAATAGTTTTGTAATAGTTAAGATATGGTTAACTGTAAACCAGATATTTTAGTTTTTAAGACAAGCTAAGTAGATAGAAAACTGAACCTTTACAATAAATTAAACCTTTTATAAATATATATATATATATATATATATATATATATATATATATATATATATATATATATATATATATATATATATATATATATATATATATATATATATATATATATATATATATATATATATATATATATATATATATATATATTAATATCTCATATTAGTTAAATAATTATTTTAATATAATAAATGGATAAACTTAATAATTTATTATATTTAAATTCCCTAGGTACTTGGCAAGCAATTTTCTCACACTTTACTGTGGCTATTGGTGCTGATCTTGAACTAAAGGTGAGCTGAATTTTTTTTTATAATAAGCCATTTTTCAGCTTAAGCCCAAGTTTGAAATCGATTCAGTGTTCTAATTCTTAAAGAATATGTTGCTACTAAGATTATATACTGTAAGTATTAATATGTATGGCTTGATAGTGGGACTGTCAGACAGTAGCTTTTACATTTCTATCCTAAAAGATAAGAGTTCAGATCCCTGGTTTTAGTCCTGGTATGATGTCCTAAGTCTCATGAGTACCAGCTCTCATGAGTACCTGGCTCAAGATAGGGAAATTAAAGGTGGCTGGGTATATACCTCTGAACACTCTAATTTTACATGCAAATGTCACAGAAACAGGTGAATTTTAATTCAACTGCTATGTTGGCTGTCTGTTTTAATCAATGATTAATTTTTTCATATTACAGAAAGTTGTTAAAAATATTATTTATTTAATTTCTAGGTAAATGGAACAGCATGGATGTGGATTTTTAGACACAAGGAAGCTGAATTTAACTTTTAATGAAGAATTTAAATGATGATTGTCCATGAAAAGAAATATTAATCATATACATTGTAATGCTGTATTGATGCATCTTCTGTTTTAAGTAATTAAAAAACCATCCATTTATGAAATTATTTTCATTTTTTTTTTCAATTTTAAAACTGTAGTTCTGTTTTGTTATTTGAAAACAATGATGAAAGTATACTGAACTGCCATTGAGATATTAATATAAATGCTATTGTTTATAGTTTAATTCTTTCAGAAGCAACTATATTGACATCAAAACTGAATCTTTATTGTACACTAAGTATAAAAGCTTACCCGCAAACCAGTCCATGTCAACAATTTATTGACATTCAAACATTAAATTTTTTTAAAGGTGATTTTTCTTAAATAAAACAGACTACTTTCATATGGGATAAGAAACATTTAATTTTGAAATTGATTGGTTTATTAAATTTTAATGGAGCTGAAACTAAAACACTGGGTACAAATTTATTATTACTTTGTTTCTCAGAAAATTGCAAATTTTGAACATAAGAACTGTGGGAAGTAGGCAATGATGTTAAAATATCTCTTGAAACTTGAAGAAATTGTGGAAGGTTTAGAGATAGAAAACAACATTTCAGAAGATGATGTTTGAAATAATGGTAAAATATCTTTAGCAGCTAAATATATTTAAATTAAGTTCATGCAAGGCTTTAGAAACATCAATTGGATAAAACTCTATAATTTCATTAACATTTTATTAATATCAGCTCCAAAGGAATAATATAAACAAGTTACACATCATCAATAAATCAAATTTGCAGATATTTCCATTTCACCAAACTTTCTCTAAGTCATAATATATATTTTAAATTCATGGCATTTTGTTAGGCTAGATATGTTGACTTTTATTTACCACAATAATCTGATTATATAAATTAGGATTACCCAGCTGTCATACATTCTTCTTTTTACTGCCCTCCTTTATGAGGGGGAGGTAAAAATCATCATAAAATGTGTGATGCAATTTACAGATGAACCCTCTCTCTCTCTACCCCTCCCCCTATATATATATATATATATATATATATATATATATATATATATGTATATCTACATAATCTCTAAAATCATGTTGGTACCTCTACCTGTTTGAATGTTAGGCCCATTTCCTTAAACTGTTTCTGTGTGGATCTTCTCCATGGGGGTCATCTATAAATGACGTCACGCATCTTTTTGACGATTTTTACCTCCCCCCTCCCCCTACACATCGTCACAAAAAGCCAGACCCCCACCCCCTAAAATGACGTCACACAGTACTAGATTCTAGATCTAAATTACTACAGTTGCCTACACTCTAGATTTAGTTCTTAAGTTCTACAACAAGACTACACTAAACTTCGCTAGATCTAGAATAATCTAGATTCTATATATAAATTGATATTGAACATATTCTAGTCTACCTGTCTTAAAGTAAATAAATAGCCTATTTATTAGGCCTAATTTTAGTAATTTAGTAATTAATTCCAGTCAACTACACTGTAAAATAAAAGAAACTAGATCTAGAATCTAGATCTCTAGACTACTCTTGAGTCTATAAATTAAAAATAAATCCTGTAAGTCGTATGTTACTGTCTAAGTCGGAATTTTCAAGAGGGTTTTTTTTAAAGTCATAGATCTAGATATAGAATTCTAGATCTAGAAATCTAGACTCTAGATCTAGGCTATATATATTTATTAATTAAATTAGGCTTGATTTCAGATTTACGATTGAAATCTTTTAATCCTATAAATATCATATTTTATATAGATTATAGATGTATTATTATTATACAGGTTGTATTCTAGATCTATCTAGATCTATATAAAATATAATATATTTGTGTGTGTGTGTTATTTTAAACTTAATTTACTTAAAACAACTTATTGTCGGAGTTTTTTTTATTCCAAAAACGAAAGTAGATTTCAAAACTTAAAAAAAAAATAAATAAAAAATATTCACATTTGGTTTGAAAAAACAAAAAAACGCCAGCTGGCAACTACCGGAGCGAGAACTTGGTAAGCTACTTTAACAACTTACAAGCCCAATATTCGTGATGCTTGTCTCGTTGAAATATTGGATATAAAAATAATTTTTAAATCATTTCTTTCAGTCACAACAGACGGAGAGTGATTGGGACAAGTAGTCAGCTGACTGTCAAGTTGGTGATCTACTGCCCACCCACAGCCTACACACTGTCACCTCAGCCTTCACACTGTCACCAACAACCCACACACTGTCACCAACAACCCACACACTGTCACCTACAACCCACACACTGTCACCTACAACCCACACACGGTCACCTACAACCCACACACGGCCACCTACAACCCACACGCTGTCACCAACAACCCACACACTGCCACCTACAACCCACACACTGTCACCAACAACCCACACACGGCCACCTACAACCCACACGCTGTCACCAACAACCCACACACTGCCACCTACAACCCACACGCTGTCACCAACAACCCACACACTGCCACCAACAACCCACACACTGCCACCTACAACCCACACACTGTCACCTACAACCCACACACTGTCACCTCAGCCCACACACTGTCACCAACAACCCACACACTGTCACCAACAACCCACACACTGTCACCAACAACCCACACACCGTCACCTCCACACAGCCTGTAGTCCCCCCTTGACCTACGAGCACAATGAACTGTTTCCACGGGAAGCTATCCAACCTGGAGTGTGATACCATTCTAAAGTTATCTCCCCTCGGCTCTTACCTTATTCGAACGTCCCCCACAGACCCTGACTTGCACGAGTTATGTTTCCATGACGGCCGGGTCCGTGAAGGGAACTGCGTCGGGTACTGGAAGATCTACCCCGCTGACAACGGGAGCTGGTCCATCAAGAAGGGGGAAGAATTCCCCGACTACTCGGCTCTACTTCAACATTACACACAGCGTAATGTGATTACGTCCCCTTGCTTGAAAAAACCTTATGGAGGGGAGGCAAAAGCGGACCAGGGTTTGGAATCTCTGGAGTGTTATCTGGGTCACGTTTCGTCACGTGACTCTGAGAGTCTGCTGGCACCGTCACCGCTAGGGTCTTTTCTCATCCGCGATGACGTCACGGAAGCTGGCGTCAAGGTGCTGAGTGTTCGGGACCAGGACACAGATGGCGCTACCTGCGTGAGACACTACCCAATCAAGATGGCCGCCGGAAGTGGCGAGTGTGTGATCGCAAACATCCGCTTCATCAGCTGCGTGGAGCTGGTCAGACACTTACAGTATGACGGATATGGCGTGTGTACAACGCTGACCACGCCTTGCTCCAAAATCACACCGGAAGTATCGGATCTTGTGATACCTCGCGAAAATCTAAAAATAGGTTTGGTTCTAGAGGTGGGTCGGCTTGGAAAAGTTTACCAAGGTAAATTAAACGGTACAACAGATGTGGCAATTGTGGAGCTGAAACATAATTTAATTAAGGTTGACGAATTTATCCACGAAGATCAGGAAAAGTGGACATTTCAGCATAAAAATATAGTTCGTCTTTACGCTTTGTGTGACAGCGGTGATGCGGTTTTTGTTGTCATGGAGAGGATGTCCAATGGAAGGCTGGTGGATTTTTTACGTAGCGAACAGACGACTTTCGTTGATTTGATGCACATGGGGACACAAATAGCAAAAGGTATGGCCTATCTTGAAGAAAAGAATCTCATTCATCGAAATTTAGCAGCATGCAATATCCTAGTGGGTGAAGACAATATTGTAAAAATATCTGAGATTGGCTGGACGAGGTTTTTAAAAAATAAAGCGAGCCAATCAAATAACGTTTTATATTCCGTGCGTTGGATGGCCCCGGAAGTGCTGACGTCGGAAAAGTTTTCCGTCAAGTCGGATGTTTGGTCGTACGGCATCGTGCTGTGGGAGGTGATGACGCGAGGGGGCGCGCCCTACTCCGGTATGGAAGACGACAGGGTGGCGCAGGAAGTCAAACGAGGCTACAAACTGCGGAGACCCAAGGACGCCCCGGAGGGTCTGTACGTGGAGATGGCCGAGTGCTGGAACCTTTGTCCGGAACAGCGGCCAACATTTGACCACCTCGTCCAGTTCATGGAGAACTTTGACTGTAAACACACAAACTGAAACACTGGTAGTCGGAGATAAATGAAGAATTATTTAAGTTAAAGACTGTGCTACGGGCATGGTAAAGGAACATTTAATACGGCATATGCTACAATAAATTAGAACTCAATAAAAAATAGTCTAAAATGTTAAAAATTACTTTGTGATATAGATAGGTCTATCCTATATTAAGAAAACATCTTTAACTTATACAGATATAGGGTGTTTTCTATGTTAAATGAATGTATTTATGTATGTTTTGTGAGTTAAATATATGCCTTTATGTATGGTGTTTTGTATTCTAAATGTTGTATGTTAAATTCGACATGTAAATCTGTTATCGATTTTTTAAATCGCAACCTTGACCTCTTGGAACATGTGTCACAAACTCAAGGGCACTGACCGGTGACAAAAATGTAGTCACTCAATGAACCAAGGCTAACCATTGGCAGGTCACACAGGCGGTGAGCAGGGCTGGGGGGAGTTATAGGAGACTGGCATAGGAGGATCTTGTACGTAATGGTGAGAGGGTGATATCGTCAGGGGCGTGACGATGTTACACTGGTTACGCTTCAGCGGTCACGTGCATCCCAGAACTCCTAAACAAGAAATCTGAAATAGAAAACATGGTCTAAACCACATTATCACCGTTCACCCGGAGGCTTAGACCGTCCCTCAACCTATAGATACTCGATAAACACCACAAGTAAAACCTATCTGACTATAATTAGCAAGAGTTAGATGGTTAAACATACTACCAGTATTTCTTCCAGACGTTTTTCTCTAGGGGCTAGGGGCACTTGATATTTTTTTTTGGGGGGGGGGGGGGGGGGGGGTAAAAGTATGCTTTCTATATAAATTCCATTTCTTTGGGGGGGGGGGGGGTAGACTTTCTTCGGGGGGGGGGGGGGGTGGG